AATTCAAAGGGAGTGAGACCAGGCTTTCTGGGAGGGTTGCTCTCATTCTTAATAAGGTTAGTGGTAAGGCCCTAGGCTATGTCCACCCGGTAGACTGCTGCATGAAGTTTTCAGAGTTGGATTTATCCATGCTACTTGTCCAAAGGGCTGAGGATCATAGCATGATTTGCATGATTCCTGAACAACAGACCACTTCAGGGGACATCTTCCAAACCATAACAAGACAAAATCTCTTCCCTTCCACAGCCCTTGATGCTACAGGATCCAGCTGCCCCAGGTGCCTGCCAAAGCCAGTCAAGGAAACCCTGTGTACTTACCTTGGCAGTGTCCTGTGAAGATACTGCTGACAAACAGCACATCCCTGATATATTTTGGAGAATGGCACCTGTTTGGTGGGCTGGGAAGAGTCTAGTGCCTTTACAACACTTCTTCAGATGCTCGGTTCAGACGGTTTTATCAATGACACATTCCTAGCCAAGCAGATGGGCTACACAGTACAGGAAGAATGATCGTGTTCGCCGATTCCCAGAGTCCAGGCCGGTTTCTTTTATCCCCTTTTTCAACCCATTTGTCCATTTCCTTTTGTGAAGCATATTTTTAAAAATGAACAGGTGCTGACTGTATTAAAAGTGGGACTTCTGAGCTGAGGTCCAGTGTGTACTGACGGGCGCTTCCACAGCTCCACCAGTGAAGTCGCCTCCTTTTGAAGCTGTCCCTTTGTGCCATCTGAATGCTGCATGATTGCTACATACAAGGAAAGCCTCCCACAACTCAGTTCTTAATTTTCTGTGAGATACTGTAGTTCTCATCAAAGTCAATAATCCCCTATTTTTCCAAATTTGCCATGTTGCCTGACAGACCCTAAACAGATACTTATTACCAGTATGTAGATTCACTTTAAGTCCTGAACTGAGAATCACGGTCCTACTAGTTAACTGCTAGTAGTTAACTCAGCTGGTGCTGACTTGATTCCAGGCAGAACCTAAGCAGCCACCACAGCACAGGGGGGCTTAACCTGGTCACTTTCCTCCCACACGTGACCCAGCAGGAAACACGTCCAAATCTGAATTTTGAGCCGGAGACACTGTCATTGTACAGACACACCACATATAATCAGGGCTGCTCAGGGACTAGCAGGGTTCAGACCGTGACTCCTGAGCACAGTGCGAGCTCGTGCTGGTCTGTGGGAGCACCTACAAGGCTGGTCTTAGGCATCTGACCACTAGCGGAGCCCCTTCAACAAGCGTGGCCACTGCGGCCACAGCTCGGGGCATTCAGAACTGAGAAATACGACATTGGTCTAGTGACAAACGCCAACTTTTGACCTAAATTCTGCTAGCAGTTTCTTTGTCTTCATGGCAAATCATGTGGAAAGCTCTTTTAGAAATTGGAATCTCTCAGCTTGGGGGGAAACTACAGCTAATTTCAGTTGTTCAAAAGCTTTTTTCAGATTCCAGGGACAAAATCGAACGGTCTAGAGTCTTATTGATCAATTAGTCCATCAGAGGACTGACCTGCTCTGCAAAGCTGGAATCCACCGTGGAAAATATCCAACCACTCCCCCAACTGTCTAGGTCACCTTTCGTTGTTGTAAACTGTTCCACCTGCAAAACTGTCCGGCCCCTAGGCTCTAACACGTTCACGGCCTTCCGCAACAAATGCCCTATGGTTTGGACCTTAGTTTGGCAATACTGCAATTTGTCTAGCATGGCCTTATGTCCCTGTGAGGTGAGGAATTGTAACAAAGCTAAAGTACCAGTTCTGCATTACTCTTTAGTTTCTGGGGCCCTCAGCAAATCGTCTACATACTGAAAAACTATTGGTCCCTTCAGGGACTCAGGTATCCCTGAGATGGCTACTCAGAGTAGTGGGAGTCCTCAAATTTTTGAAGAATCCTTTGTAACAAACACCAGACTCTTTCACAGGTAAAAGCAAATGAGAATTTGCACTCATTAGCTAGAGGGGCAGAACAAAAGAAAAATAGAGACCATAGAGGAAACCCTTTGCAGAATCAAAGTCAGAAGCGCTGCAGGGCTGGAGGCTACAGAGTCAACAAAACAACGATTTCATTTACCTCTCAGATTCGGTACAAAGCTCTACAGTGGCCGACCATATCTCTAAAATTTACCCTCCTTGCTTGCTCGAAGTATGGGAGTGTGATAGGGTGAGAGTCCTTTTCAAAAATCGTCCCATGTTTTTCTATTTTTTAAAAAATAACTGGTTTGATTTTCTCTAATTGAGCCCTTGAGAAAAGGATATTGTTGTACACTCGGCCATGGCTTATCCTTTGGGTAAGCTATTTTTATTGGTCCTGTATTTCCAATTAAACCAATATCATTATTCCTCAGGGTCCAGAGCAGAGCATGGATCTGTTTCAAGCTGGATGCTTTTCCTGCACGAGTGAGACTGCCATGCTGTCAGTCCCCTTTTATCTCAGAAGGCAGAGTGACCAAGTCTGGAGCCTTTTCCGCAGAGAGCTCCACAAGGCCTCCATCAGTACGGTAGGCTTGCAGCTGCGCGCAGGCCCTCCCCTGCAGATCCACAGGAGAACCGGGTCGGAACACCTATTCCTCAAGTCAGCGTGGGAACTGGGGCAGTGTGTTCAGCTCATTCCTGCCTGTGTGGGAACAACAGAGAAAAAGGAACAGTTAAAAACAATTCTAATGTTGTTGGGTGGAATCTTAAAAATGTTAATTAGGTCAACATGGTTTATAGTGTGGCCACATCTGTATCTGTACTCATTTTATATCTACTTAGTTATCAATTACCGAGAGAGGAATGTTGAGATATCTAACCATAATTGTAGATTTGTCTCTTTCTCTTGCCATTCTATCAGTTTCTGCTTCATGCATCTTGAAGCCCTGTTATGGAGGTGTCTGACGACTTAGAATGGCATGGCTTCCTCCTGCGCGCAGCGTTATGAAATGTTTCTCTATAACCCTGGCAATAGTTCTTAATGCCCACTTTGATATCGGTACAGCTGCTCCAGGTACGCTTGATTTAGTGGTTGCATGATATGTATTTCTTTTGTTCTTTCACTTTTAGCTAGCTGTGTCTGTACATTTAAGTGGGTTTCTTATAGAGGATATATCTTGGCTCTTGATTTTTCACCCAGTCCAATACTATCTGCCTTTTGTTTGTAGTATGTAGGGCATTTATGTTTAAAGTAATTATTAATAGGATGTGCCTTCATAGGCTTTTGTTTTTTTAATTTTCCCTGTGCTTAGGGTTCATTGAGCTGCTTGATTGGTTTCCACCAAATTTGGAAAATTTCTAATTTTTTCCTGCCCCCTGTCACCCTGTCATTCTAGGACACCTGTGACATGCACACTGGACTGTGATGCTGTCCCACAAGTCCCTGACATTCTTTCCACCCCCCTTTTTCATTCTCTCTCTCTCTTTCCTTCTCTGATTGTTCACTGTAGTATTTACTCTGCTATAAACCCCATCTTGCCTTTTTAAAACACATTTTGTTTTCTCTCCTGATCTTCTGCGTTCTTGAGCAGATGGAGCATATTCATGATTTATGCTTTCATGTCTTTGTCTATTAATTCCATCATCTCTGTAACTTATAGATCTGATTCTACTGATATAATTTTCTCCTGATTATGGGTAATATCTTCCTGCTTCTTTTCATGCCTATTGATGTTTTTAAAAATTAAATACTGGTAAAATATATGTAACACAGAATTTACCACTGTAACCATTTTCTAAGTGTACAGTTCAGCAGCATTAAGTACATTCACGTTATTGTGCAACCATCACCACCATCCTCTCTGAACTTTTTTCATCTTGCAAAACAAACTCTGCCCCCATTAACAATAATTCCCAATAATTCTCCATCTCCCCACCCCCCTGCCCCCAGTAACTACCCTGCTACTTTCTGTCTCCATGAATGTGGCGGCTCTAGGCTCCCCCTTGTGAGTGGAATCATAGTGTTTGTCCTTCCTTGTCTGGCTTCAGTGTAATGTCTTCATCCATGTTGTAGCAAGTGACAGGATGTCCTTCCTTCTTAGGTCATGCCTACTAATTTTAAATTGAATACCAGACATTGTGCTTTTGACATTGTTGGGTCCAAGGTGTTTACTTTATTTAAAGAGTGTGAGATTTTCTACTAACAAACAGCTTCAAAAGATCAAACCAATCCCTAGTAGCTTAACTGTGTTCCAGAACAAACTGCATCAGTCTTCCAAGGAAGATAATATCTAGTCCCATGTATTACAGAGTCTTTCCATGTCGGACCTCTTCCAGCCCTGAGTGCCAGGAATTGTTCAGTCTACAAATTCCAAATCAGATCGCTCAGTGAAAGAGACTTCACTAAGCAAAAGGCCAATTTTAAATACTGTGCTGGTATCAGTGCAGCCTCAAGTCACCATAAATCTAGGAATGCATGTCCAATTTACTCATTCTTATTCTAATAAATGATATTTATACTCCCAATATAATTTAGACTCCAGTAAGGCATTACTTTGCAGGACAACAGGCTTGTACTCATCTACCATGCTCTAACTTTCCCTGTGGGTTCTGAGCAAGTGTTAAAGGTGTCCAGATATTTAAAACTACCATCCCTCCAGTCAATCATATGTCCTGAAAAGGAAAGCCAGAACCTTCTAAAACAAAGAAGCACAAATTATTCTTAAAAGCTTCCAGAAGGGATAATTGATTCCTTTTCACACATACTCCACAAAATGCAATTCCTATAGAGGGAACAAAACAACTAGAAAAGGTGGTACAAACTTGTCCCTAACCTTCACAAAAGTCACAAATGATGACACTTCTATTCTGAAGGCACAACAAGCTAATGTAAGTGCGTTAACTAAAGTGGTCGTGGACAAACATGCAGTCTTTTATTTCCTCTTGCCAGTCCAGGGGACATTAATGCTGCAGCACATACTTCTTGTTATACCCCCCATAAGGATGACAGAGCAAATAGAACATTTCTATGACTAAGCTAAAAGGAGCCCAACTCTGTAAAACAGGTCCGACAAGATTCTGGGACCTGCTGGCTCTGAGACCTACGGCAAGCACTGGTAGTCATTTTGTTTGCATTACTTGCCTGTTTTATAGTTGGTTTTTGTGTTCTGTCCAGAGATGCAGATGCTACTGCACAGCTCTTGTCACATCAGATGGCTCAGCAACATGCTACAGCAGAGAGAGAGATTAACCTTGGATCAGCTAGAATATGTCTCGACATGCATGTCTAATCTTAATCAAAATCTTGACAAGGTTAAAAATCTGGACAGCGTGAATTAACGTCTTTGGCCTGATGTCATCTGTCCTTGGCCAAAAGAGGAACTGAGAGAGCAAAAAGCAGCCCCTGACATCTGGAACTGATCTGACATTTGTAGCGAGGTCTCAATGTGATCATGAGCCTGTCTGAGGCTCACAGCCAGGCCATTTTGTTCTGTTGGACATAGAAATTCTTACAAACTGTCAAACTCACAGGTCATTCCAAGACTTCATAATTTTGTCTAAGAACAGACACAGATGGGGGTCACTGTGCCACTCATGAAGTACCCGATCTGGCATTATCCCCTGCTTTCTGATAGCACTCAATCTGGAGCAAGTCCCTGGCTTCTCTGGACCTGCCTGCAAAGCACCCACCCAACACCTAAGTCCTGTAATGCGCTTTCCCAGCACCTCTCATTAACACACCCCACAGTTCCCACGTGGGCATTCTTCTTCCCTCTAGCCAGTAAAAAGCCGAATCTCAATTACATGCACGTTCCTATTTCCAGGTCTGAACAGCACCGAGGTCAAACATGTACATGAGCACAGGGACTATGGAGTGGGCTCAGCTGGGGTTCTGGCTCTGCCACTAACCTACTGTGCCCCTTCATCCCACTCACTTGCTCTCTGTGCCTCGGTTTCTCTCTATGCAAAAAACAGTAGTCTCAAAGGGGACTAATGAGAGGAAGAGGCCAAAAAATAACAAAAGGTGACAGGCAGTGATGTACTATTCTTACTTGTTTTTATTGTAAATCATTCTAACCACAACTCAAGATTTGAGCTCCAGAAATGCAAACTTTCCCAGGGAACCAAACTAATTTGGGTCCCGGAAGAGGACTGCGGCTGGCCATGACCACCATCCCTGTCCCTGGCCTGTGGCCCTCACTACCTCCTCCCTGGTATGAGCTGGGCAGAGCTGGCCAGCTGGCAGTTTGTCCAGACAGTGGGGCAAGACAGGCTGCATTGGCCACAGCCGTCAAAGGTCTCCTGACCAGGTCCTTGCGGAGCAAGGCCCCAAGCTCCACAGTCCGCTCTGTGGCTCCCCAGGCCACCGGTGAGCCAAGCTAGCTCAGGGAAGGCTCACCCTCTGGGCTGGCAGAGGGGCCCACAGGCCTGTTCCTCCTCCTTTTCATCGTGGAACTTGGCCAGCCTCCCCAGCCCACCTCACACCTATCCTGGATGAAAGCATCACCATTGGCCTTAGGGTCTATGCAATCAACCCCTTTGGGGAGCTACAGATTATCTCCTAATTCCACAAGAGCACAACTTTTTTAAAGGAACAGATGGTCAGATCCCATCTACCTGGTGCTGGACCCTACCTCTCCCCATGGCAGAAGAGAGGAAGTTGCCCCAAATGTCTCCTCCTTCCCAACCCTGTATACTTTACCCATGACAGAGGGATGGATTACAGGTTTTAATGCACACAGCACCCTTTAAAATTTTTTCTTTCAGTTTAAAAAGTTTGTTTTTATTGTGGTAAGATATATGTAACATAAAATTGACATTTTTTATTATTTTTTTAAAAATCAAATGTACATCACAGTGGTTCAACAGTTCTCCTTCTCCCCCACCTCCACATACTCCCCTCTCCCTTAGTCCCCACCAGTCCCTTCTCAGTGTCTATGGGTTTGATGCTGTTTTGTTCCTTCTGTTTTGCTTTGTCTTATATTCCACAAATAAGTGAAATCATATGGCACTTGTCTTTCTCTGCCTGACTTATTTCACTGAGCATAATACCCTGTAGTTCCATCCATGTTGTTGCAAATGGCAGGATTTCTTTTCTTTTTATGGCTGAATAATATTCCATTGTGGATATGACCACATCTTTATCCGTTCATCTATTGATGGACACTTAGGTTGCTTGCATATCTTGGTTATTGCAAACAGTGTGGCAATAAACATAGAGGTGAATATATCTTTTTGAATCAGGGATTTTGTTTTCTTTGGGTAAATTCCTAGAAGTGGAATTACTGGGTCAAGTGGTATTTCTATTTCCAGTTTCATAAAAATTAACATTTTAACTATTTTTCAGTGCACAGTTTCGTGGCATTAGGTATATCCACATTGTTGTGTAACCATCACCACCATCCATCTCCAGAGCTGTTTTCATTGTTTCAAACTGAAACTTCAAACTCATTAAACAGTAACCCCCAATTCCTCCCACCCCCAGCCCCTGGCAACCACCATCCTAACTTCTGTCTCTATGAATTTGACTATTCTAGAAACCTCATATAGGTGGAATTATATAGTATTTGTCCCTTTGTGTCTGGCTTATTTCACTCAGTATAATGTCCTCAAGGTTCATCTATGTTGTAATGTGTATTAAAATTTAATTCACTCTTATGGTTGAATAATATTCCATTGTATATATGTATCATATTTTGTTTCTCTTATTCATTTGTTGCTGAACATTTGGATTGTTTCCACTTTTTGACTATTGTGAATAATGTTGCTATGAATATGGGTGTTCAAATACATGTTTGCTTGCTTTCAATTCTTTTGGGTCTATACTCAAAAGTGGAATTTCTGGATCATATGTTAATTTTATATTTAATATTTTGAGGAACTACTATACTGTCTTCCACAGAGCCTGCAGTATTCTACACCCTCTCTCCCTCCCTCCTTCCCTCCCTCCCTCCCTCCCTTCCTTTCTTCCAAGAATAGCCATCCTAATGGTACTGAGCGTCTTTTCACGGGTTTGTTGGCCATTGTGTATCTTCTTTGGAGGAATGTTTATTCAAATTCTCTGTTTTTTAAATCAGATTGTTTATATTTTTGTTGTTGAGTTATAAGAGTTTTTATGTATTCTGGATATTAGGCATTTATCAGCTGTATGACTTTCAAACATTTATATCTCATTTTGTAGGTTGTCCTTTCACTTTCTTAATGGTGTCCTTTGATGCACAGAAGTTTTAATTTTTATGGAGTCCAAATTATCAGTTTTTCTTTTGTTGCTTGCATTTTTGGTGTTTTAATATATAAGAATCAGATATGCTTGCCAAATCCAAATTTGTTGCAGTCAGGGACTGCAAAAATGAGAAACCAAGTCTGAATGACATTTTAAGCAGAGGGCTTAGACTTCTCGGGAGACTAAGCACCAAGTCAGTGCTCCCCTGTGCTTTTATTAAGTTACAGCAAACAAAAAGACAGGCATCAATTAATGATTATAGGATGAGTTTTTTCATCAAGCTAAACAATTGTAAGCTAATCACCTCTTAAAGTTTCTCTTAGGTCTCACCAAGTCATCGGCCATGTCAGTCTCATGGTGTTCTCCTTATCTGGGTTTGCCTCAGAAAGGATCATGAGAACTGTCTGCAGTCCTTGTCACACTGCTCACGACTCCCACGAGATTCCAAGATGCGGCACCTGTGGTTCTTTTCTCTTAGATTAGTTTCAGCTGCAAATCATATTGTTCTTTCTCTTAGATTAGTTTTGGCTATAGATTAAGCTTAAGCAGGAACTAAATTACAGCAAGGTTAACTGTTGGGGTATCTGCACAAAGTCATAAATATTTATCCCTATGTTTTCTTCTAAGAGTTTTATGGTTTCATCTCATATTTTAGTCATTAATTTAAAACTTTCTAAAGCAACTAAGAAAAGAAAGATGAAATATGCATTTTTATCAATTTTTATAATTACAAATTTCTTTTACTGGTGCACTCCCTTGTGTGTGTGTGTGTGTGTGTGTGTGTATGAATTTCCATCTGGGCTTAGTTGCTTTCAGCCTGAAAAACATTCTTTAGTATGACCTTAAGATGGGTCTGCTAGCAATGATTCTCTTTTTATCTTTCTGGAAAAATATTTTGTCTTTCTTCTTGAAAGTGTTGCTGGGTATAAAATTCTTGCTTGACAGTTTTTTCTTTCAGCATTTTGAATATATCATCTTACTGCCTCCAGCCTCCACTATTTCATACTGGGGTTCCCTTGTATGTGAGGAGTCATTTTTCTCTGATTGTTTTCGAAGGTTTTATCTGTCCTTCGGCATTTTTACTGATGTATCTGGGTGTGGGTCTCTTTGTATTCTCTCATTTGGCTTTTTGGATATGTAGATTAATGTTTTCCAGCAAATTAGGGAACTTTGTAACCATATTATTTTTTCTGTTCCTTTCCCTTTCTCCTCTCCTCTGGCACTCCCATTCCATGTAAGTTGGTGTGCTTATGCTTATCCCATGTTTCCTGGAATGCTTATTCACTTTTATCCATTCTGTTTTCTCTCTTTTCTTCGGTTGCATAATCTCTATTGATCTATCTTCAAGTTTGCTGATTCTTTCTTCTGCCAGTTTATATTGACTGTTGAGCCCCTCTAACAAAATTTTCATTTTGCTCATACTTTCTAACTCCAGAATTTTCACTTGATTCTCATATGCAGTTTCTATTCTTTAGTATTATTCTCTATTTGATTATATATTTTCTTTATACCTTCCTTTATGTCTTTGAACTTCCTGGATGTGTAGTTCATTACTTTTCAATACACTTTGGAAGTTTTGGGCCACCATTATTTTAGATCCTTTTTCTGCTCCTTTCTCTCTTAATTCTCCTCTGGTACTCCCATTATGTGTATGTTGGTACATTTGATGTTACTACAAAACTCTTTGAGGTTTTGTTCATTTTTCTTCATTCTTTTTTCTCTCTGTTCTTTGGCTTGCATAATTTTCTCAATCTATTTTCAAGATCATTAATTCTTTCTTTTACCAGTTCAAATATACTGTTGAAACCCTCTACTGAGTTTTTAATTTTAGTTATTGTACTTTTCAACTCTAAAATCTCCATTTGGTTCTTTTAAAATAATTTATTTTCACAATATATGTAAATCAAGTCATTATTCTATATACCTTAAGCTGTTTACCAATTATATCTCAATAAAACTGGAAAAATCATTAAAAAATAAATTATTGAGAAAGCAAGAATTTTTT